GGCAGATACTGTAGTTTTGCAGACTGAGTTCACTGTACCATAGTAGACTGAACAGCACCCTGTGTGTATGATATATCACCTTGATACTAGTCAGCCTATCTCATAAGCTAAAGTGTTTTACTGGTTGATTTCATAGTTCATTAGAAGACTTGTGTTTTCCTCCAGCAGCTGAGTTGCAAATGAAAATACCACTGGGTTGCAGAGACTATGCTACTAAGTAATTCTAGCCTAACTGGCCATGCCTCAAGTAAGCAGTAAAATTGTTAACTGTGACAGCACCATTATTTTTAAGCCTCATTCATCTTGCATCCCTGTTCCTTGACTTGAACTGCTTTTTTTAAATTCATATTATTTAACGCTATTTTAAATTATTCCCTAAAAAAAAAAGGAATGGATTTAATTAATCTTTTAACGAAAAGTTCTGATGCTCTGTCTTCAAACAATTGTCCTCAAAATTTAGACAGAAAATAAAACTGAATTATTATTTCTAAAAGGAATTCCTATGCAAGGCTTGATGCAACCTTGATTAACATAGCAATTTACCACACATTTCAAAAAATGTTGCTAGTATTTTGTAGCTCAAAATAGAGATACCTTTGAGTTTCCTACTGTATTCCATCAACGCTTCAAATCCATCAGACTTCAAATCCTCTTTAATTTTTGCAAATACAATAAGATTTCATTTTAAATAGATTTTGATAATAAATAACCTAATCAATGAAGTGATTTAGTGTTAAAGCTATGTTTAGTATTTTCTTTTTTATCATCCCTTCCTTGGCTAACCCCTTTAAAATTCATTTTTATCTTAATGTGATTCTTATGAGGTAAATATCCTTTCCTCCTTTTTTCTGGAAGTGTTTAGGGTTAAACTCAAATGGTGCAGGCAAAATGTTTGCTTTATGATGTTAACCAAAAACAGTCAATGCAAAAACCTGAAAACAGAGTAACAGTCTGAAGTAGGCCTTTTAGCTTTGTTTTTGAGTAAGAATAAAGAGGTTTTGTTTTATTTTTTGTTGTCTTCCTGTGGTGGGGGGAAACAGTTTTTCCCCCTGCAGTTATAAAATGGTAAAACCCCAGGGGGTGGTGACCCTTGAAGTATTGAGGTTTTACCCAATGAGCACTTCTGCAAAATATAAACATATCACAAGCAGAACGGGAGAGAAGGTAGTTGTCGAAGTTGTTGTAGAAGAAGTGACCATGTTGTGAAAGCCACGAGGAGAAACAACAGCAGCCCTTGGGGGGCTCTGGCCCCCCCAGCCCCCGGCTGGGGGGGGCTGCAGGGACTTGGAACAGCGTAATGCTGGGCTAAGTACCTGGGGCTGAAAACTAAAGAAGTTTTCTCCACCATGAGTGAGCAGAGACAGAGCAGAAGCAGCATCCAGAGATTGTGGCTGAGAGCCAAGAGATAACTGAAGAAGAAGCAGAGGCATTGCAGCCGAGCAAGAGAGACACAGAGTTGTCTGAGAGACGAGAACCAGCAGCAAAGAGAGCAGACTAAGCTCTACAGACAGAGACAGAGTTGGGGTAAGCAACTGAAACCAAAAGACCCCAAACTCCTTGGAGACCCCTCACCTCCTACAAGGGAAGGGTGAAGTGCAACATGCACTGCAGAGGAGCTGAAAAGCTCAAAGCGTCCTAGAAAGCTGGACCAGGTGACCTTGCCCCCCCTGCTGCTTGAGACAGAGCACAGGAGCTCTGGTAGAACTCTTGAGGCAAGGAGTTTCAACTGAAAGCTGCTCGAGATGTTCTGACTCAGAGGTAAATCCCCCGAGGAAGGGACTTTCACGAAGATGAAAAAAAACAACCTACTAACCAAACAAAAATCTACTCAACAGATAGAAGTTAAGACATTCATTATGAGGTTTAAAAGGAATAGAAGAAAGAAGCAGACACACATGAAGTCTTATTTTCTAATATTTTCCTTTTTTTTTTTTTTTTTGGTGCTATTTTGCTTTTGAGAGAGTATGGAAACATCTGTATTAAAAATACAAACTCTCATGACACTAGATACATTTTAGTTGGTCACTCATTTTCAGAGGCACCACCGGTATGTGACTGCCATAGAAATGAGTTACCCTGCTAAGATGGCAGGTACCAGAGAGATATGATGCAATAGGGGCTGGGTGTGTTTTAAGAGCAAGTACAGTAGTGCTTCACTTGTCTTTGAGTCATATCTGTACAAGCAATAATGATTAGGGTCCAAAAAACCCCATTCAATTTCTTTGCTTTTGCTGTCTTAGCATTGGTTTGCTTAATAATTTCTACTCTGCAAACATTCCTAGGGGCAAAAAAGTGAGATTGGCGCAACTGTCCTGCTATTTATGGATAGTAGATTTTGAAATCCAGTCCATTAGGAAGCTGGAAATAAGGAAGGAAACAGCAGATATAATTTATCACAGTAATTTATCTTCTTTTTTTAGGGAAATATTGGGCAATATGTTATAAAACAGGGTAATCTCTGAATAGTGTATCAGATTTTCTGGGGAAAATAGAGTGACAATGAATGAACAGTTTCTTCAGGGATTAAAAATTGACTTAAGTAAGAGTTGAGACACATCTTGTAAATGGTTGGATGTAAAAGTACGTGTGAGACAAGCATATAGGTAGCTATAGGAGAGTTGTATAAGCAGTAGGGTAATTCAGCCTTATTTTTTTGTCAATTTTTACAGTGTTATGGAAAGGTTGTGTGAAGCAAAACTTCACTGAGTGTGTTAAGACTGGATACAGAAGTGTCCATTTAGATTCTGTTATGTTTTTAAGACTAAACAACTCCTTATAATGTATAAGACCCAGTCGAGCAGGGACAGCAGCTGGGAGCTTGTGGTAGTGGCAAGACCATGGTGGCTCTTGTGAGATCTGAAAGATAAGTCAGAAGGAAGCCAGCATCCAACCAGAACATCATAGCATATAGGTAGCTATAGGAGAGTTGTATAAGCAGTAGGGTAATTCAGCCTTATTTTTTTGTCAATTTTTACAGTGTTATGGAAAGGTTGTGTGAAGCAAAACTTCACTGAGTGTGTTAAGACTGGATACAGAAGTGTCCATTTAGATTCTGTTATGTTTTTAAGACTAAACAACTCCTTATAATGTATAAGACCCAGTCGAGCAGGGACAGCAGCTGGGAGCTTGTGGTAGTGGCAAGACCATGGTGCTCTTGTGAGATCTGAAAGATAAGTCAGAAGGAAGCCAGCATCCAACCAGAACATCATAGCAGAAAAAATAAAATAACGAACTGCCATAACTTTTATTGCTTAGAGGAGAAAACATGACAAAAGGAGATTCTGTAAGAAATTGGCAGATGAATAGTTAACAATGGTAATAACCATCAAATAGTTAAAAAATTATGAGTAATATGCTGTTTCTTTAACATTCTTGGATCATTTTTTGTTTCTACTGACAGTTGCAGATAATGAACTTGATTTTTTTAAAATTGGATATGAAAATATGTTTTTAAAGTATCCAGAAACAGCACTGCCATTGATTCAGAAGTCTAGGTAGAATCAGAGATTTTGTGTTTATTTATCTTTGAATGCTGCATTGAAATATGTGGATTTTGTTACTAAGGATGAAACATCTTGTCATGACAACTCTTCATAGACTGCAAGTGTCTTATGCAATTCCCCGTGGCTTCAGTGTATGCTGGATCAGGCTCACAGTGAATAAAATTGGAAAAAGATCTATAAAAGCAGTCAAACACATCTTTTTCTTTTTAAAAAAGAAAAATATTTTTAAAAAGCTGAATTTTCTTGTTTAAACCTTTCTGAGGTTGCTTGGTTGGTTGTTTTGTGGGTTGTTTTTTTTTTTTACTTCAGCATTAAACAGGTATTAGCATACATTCCTTGGAGTAAACAACTTAGCAATTCTTGGAGGGATATTTTCTACCTCGTCCTATTTTTATTATATGGTGTGCTACTTCCAGTTTAATTCACCTAATTTTATTACTACATTGAATGTTAAAAGAAAAGTAGGTTTTTATGGTGCCATCCTGATTCATTAAACTGCATCTCATAGTTCACTGTCAATACAAAAAACTTAAAGCTGTTCCTGGGGTTATTCTGCCTTTTCATATGCTCTTAAAATAGCCTATCTGCACTTAAGAGTTTTTCTTCTAGAGCTCACACCGAGCCACCTGCCTAGGAGATAAAGTGCATTTCCTTAGGCTCAAAGTCAGTTTCTGATAGAGTATAGCCAGACCTCATTTCTTATAATTTTTTCAACTTTAATTTTTCCTGATGTTTCTCCATATCACGATTTTTCTCATTAACTCCTCTCCTAATGGTACCACACCACCTGAGGTGCTTCAGCACTTCATTTCTACTTGGACTGTGTATTCTGGTTCAGTGACGCAGGTTGATTCCCATTCATCACTTGCACAGTATAATGCCTTCCTGAACAAATCCCCTACTTTCCTAATGTGCCAAATTACTGAAACCAATTTGGGCCACCTCTTCACATTTCTTAGGCTGATCAGTGACTCTTGAAACCTCTTTTTAGCTTTATGGAGCAGCAAACCTTGCTGCCTGTCATATTTTGTACAGGCAAACCAAACTGAAAAGGAGAAACCCAGGTGCCTAAACAGGAGCTTCAGAGGAATACACAACATATCATCTAAGACATCAACAGAGGCTGGGCAGGTAGGCTTTGTGATCAATGGGAGCCACTTCAGAACTAGCAACTGGGGAACACACAGGACAGTTTAAAGCACTAGATGCATGTTTTTATGCTCCTAATTGCTCCCCAGAATTACTACTCTTAAAGAAAGTGTTATTGCAGTTAAAAACAAAAAAAACCCAAACATAAAAACTCAGTCCAAAATGCACACTTGTTTGATTTTTTTTATTATTCAGTTATTTATATATTTATATATATTATGGTCATAGTTGCAATGCCTTTTCTCATTGCAATGTATAAAGTTGCCAGAATGTATTTGCATATGGTTAGGTCTTTTGAAAAATCACAAGAAATATTTTGAGATGTGGCAAAAGAAATTAAGGCACAGAATGTCAGAAAAGACCCCATTGGTTCTAGTAAACATGTAAGAAAAACTTTAAATGGCAGCAATTCTTTCTGAATATGCTGTAGTCCTGCACTGGAGGGAGGTAAAGAATTTTTCCTAAAATATACACACACATAGACTTTAAGCCTTACTTCTCTTTAAACTCCCTTCAGCCTGAGGAGTTAGATAGCACTGAACCATTCTTAGAATTTAATTTTCTGGTCTTTGTACTGCTGTACTATTTTAATTTCCTGATAGTACCAGAATATAGCCACTCTGAAATTTCAGGTTTCATTTTCTTGAAATTGTGAATATATTTTTTTGTAGAAACCAGGCTTTTAGAGGGTGTCTTTTTTTTCCTACTAGAAGATCCTAATCTTGAAGGGAGAGGGGTGGGGGGATGAATATTGACTTGTAATAGTGTTGGAAATAAAATAAGGCTGAAGCATAATTTTCTTTCAGTGAAGCAATGAAAACGAGAGAGATGCTTGAAAAATGCTAATGAAGGACTCAATTATGAAGAAGCTGCAGAACTCGGAGCACCCAGGAAATTGCCACTTATTCATATTGCGGCAAAACACATTTGGTCCTATTGGGTAATTTTTTTTTCATGAGCCAAAGATATCATTATTTCAACTATTTCATAGCCTTGACTCCCACATACAGCTGCACTGGTATTTGGGTTTGGATGTGCAGGAATAAGCATCACTGTGGCAAATATCTCATCTTTGCCAAGCGTGGTTAAAAAGGAAAAGAAAAGAACCCAGTGTATCTTAGGAGTACAAGGAAGATAAGTAGGAAAAAGATTCCTTGAAGGGTCGGATGCACAGTGCCTTCCCTGCTCAAGGTTTTGTTTAAGACTGCTGTCTAGCCTTGTATGTTATTTCATCTGCTCTGCTCAATGGAGAGATTACACAAAAAAAGTGAAGCCTTACGCTGCATGTAATAAAGTTTTTGTCAGTGAAGTGGCATTTCTATGTTGGATAAAGGCTGATAACAGTGGCGATGAGCTGATACCTCTATACTAAGTATTTTCACATCCTAGTTTGAAATAAAACAGCAGTTAAAAAGGATGAAGGTAATGATGATAACTCCAGGTATGTTCAAGGCATAGTCTTGATGAGAGCAGAGCTCTTGTCCTTTGTTTTTACTATGGAGTAAACAGGCCTGATTCCAGGCAAAGACGTCTGAAGGGACTTGGCTAATTTAACAATTGGTCCCATTTATGAACTAGATGAAGAGCTGTTTGCTGCTCTATCATTAATGACAAACACAAACCCACAAAAGAAAGAAACATCTAAATTATTAACTGCATGATCAACAACTCAGTTGGGAATTTCACTGGGTCATGAATGCTGACAGGTTGTCAGGGAAACAGGAATAACTTAATCAACTGCCTAGTTTGGAAGATGAAACCTTTTTACATATTTTTGGTGGCTTATAGCTGAGCTGGATTTATAAATGGTTGCTGAAATGGAAAACACAGTCATGTTTTTGATTCAATACAGACAACTTGAAGAATCACAAAATGGTTGGAGTTGGAAGGAACCTCAGGAGACCATCTAGTCCAACCTCCTGCTAAAGCAGGTTCACATAGAGCAGGTTGCACGTGTTCACAGCCAGGTGAGTTTTGAATATCTCCACAGAAGGAGACTCCACAAGCACTCTGGATAGCCTTAAATGATTTAGGTTTTAATTTAACACCTTGATCTATGTTTCTGTTTTGATTCATGAGCAACTCCATAGGTTTTGATCATTTTTCCCTTCCCTCACCTTTTTTCCTATTCTAACCATTCATTAAAACCATGTATGAAGATTTCTTGATATCTTGACAATTTGCAAGCAGTTAATAGTGTTATGAAGTTAATTGTAGTTTCCCAAGTATGTTGAGCCAAAATTTCAAATGGTTCAGGTGTCACCATTTCTGCTTAGCATTCTATTTTTCTGGCTCCTTTGCCAGCCATATGCCCTTCAGGACCAGTAATGGATACTTGCAATGGCTGAGGCAGTTTCCCTTTGTTCTGGATCATAAAACAACCACCTGGAAAGGCAAGTTGAAAATCATAGGCAGGAGAAAAAGCTGTGTTTGACTGGGAGTTAAGGTAAGATTCAGTCTATGATTTTGGAGAGATGGGGTTGTGGTCGGCAGGAGGACTTTCCAGTCTTAGTTAGCACTTAGGCTGTAGTAAGCTGTGGAGTCTGTGGCTCTGAAACTCTCAAAATTCTCTGTGACAAGCTTATTAGAATGATTGCTAGTCCATAAGGCTTGTCTGTTCTCCTGAGCATTTGCTCATCTGGAAAGCATCCTGTTGGAAGAGGGGTAAAACAACTGTTACAACAAGAATATTTTTATTTCAAGATTTTTCTGCTAGAATAATTGGTCACTGTTCATTTGTTTGTTTCCTGTTTCTTCGTATGTATGCTAGTACTGGTCAGCAGAGATAGGCAAAGGTTTTTCCGTCACTGAATTGTAGAACTAAGGGTACCTGGTTTACTGTAAGATCATTCATTTGACCTGTGCTTAGACATGTAGAGAGTAAGACAGTATATGACCATCAATGATTAGAAATCAGTATTCACCAAATATTAAAGGATCTGTTATTTAGCAAGTGATCTCTTGAAGTTTTATGCTAAATAAGAGCAGTCATGCTGCTGAACATTTACTGAAAAGAGAGGTATAATCTCAAGTCTTGCAATAGTCTAAATTTCCTGGGACAATTTTCAAGAATAACAACTGATGGGAAACCTGGAATCAAAAGGCATGCAATAATCTTTGACCAGGGAAATATCAAAGATAAGGCTTTGAAGTATTAGGTGTCTTCAGAATTTCAGATTAAACCATGTCACAGTTACACGTTATGTCCTTTTGGTATCTGAAGTCCGGTTTCCCTGAATTGTCATTATTGCAGGTAGAAAAATTATCAAAGTATTTTTTCTCTTCCTTATTCTTTTATAAAATGTTTTACCAGTCTGATATTCTCAGGGTGGATAGATAAAAATACATGGGGAAGGTATGTTCTTAGTGCTGATCTTTACCATTGAAATGTACAATAGAGAAAATAATACATTACTGTTTTGACTATCCCAAGTCACTGCTTCTCTTTTCTCACCCCTTTACGTGCTCCCTTCTTTTACAGTGCTTGAAGTGGTAGCGCTTGCCATCAGCATAATTCTGCTGTATTCCTAGGTCGTAATGCTGCCTTAACAATTCAGAACAGCTTGCCTTATTTCACTTGCCTAGTTGTCCAGACCAACTTTTTACTTATTGGAGAGAAACAAGCAGGAGGAAGGAGTTTGCTCCATCCAACAATGGAAATACCTGCTTCTGGTGCCAGTCTGCTGACTTCATGGAAATGCACATTTCCTTCTATCAGCTCAGATACCTGAAGTGTTTATATCTGGGAAATGAAATGCACTGAATTGAAAAAGTGTAGGTAAAGTAATAGCTTGTGTTTGGATAGGAAAATAAAACATTTCTCTGTCCAAATTTCTCTGATCCTAAAGGATTTCCTTGGGCGGGGTTAGGAGTCTTGAGTAAAATTCATATTCCAGGTAGCAATCTAGTATTTTGCATAACAGAAATTTCCTTTGGTATGTATTGTGTTATGTACATTGCTGCACACAGCTTCGTCTCGTTTTTTTGTTTATTTGTTTGTGTTATAAGCAAACTTGTTTTACCCACATTCACAAGAGAAAAATTTCACTTTCTTGTGTAGACTGCTAGAATTGTCTTCTTCTAGAGAAAAGTGTACTTCATCACTTTTCTTTCTGAAATGTAGGAACAAGTTTCCTTTTAAATTGGTTGGAAGACAAAAAAAAATCCTACATCTCCTTTTGTTTATATTTTTCTTTGACTCTTCTACAAATAAACCTTTTACAAGTCTAACACCAATAAAACGAACTCTTAGTTTGCCTCTTAGTAAAATGGGGAAGCAAAACTATACCCCATAGTATTCAGGATCATAAAATCCATTTTTTCTCTGTTTCAAAGTATTGGTTTTTAACTGCTAGTGAAAGCATTATAAAGATTGGCTTCTGAAGGAGTGGAATAAAGCTTTCATTTTTTTCTTCACATATTCTCTGTGCCATCCGGTTATGGTTCAGAAACACAACCATTTTGCTCTTCAGGACTAAATTAATTTGATGCACTATCAAAGTGCATTCAAATTATCAGTCTCATTCTTGCCCTAGAATATGGTATTGAAGTGAGAACACTGATCTGCTGACATTTCATGGATAGTTTGAAAATATCAAGCTACAAAACTGCAGATGAAATTACTCAGTTTCTTCTTGTAGGTGATTATCTGTTTTCTCTTCTTACCAAGTATTAAAGTATTATTTCCCTGTAGGTTGATTGTTTTCCCTCTTGCTATTTAGTCAAAAGCTTCAATTTGTTATTCTCTAGCGATCACTTAAACTGGGGGCACTAGAGCTTTCACAGCTGAAGAACTGCTTTAATATCATATATAGTTAGAGGAAGCTACAAAATCCTTGCACACAATAGGGATTCAAAGAAAAATGCAAATAGATTTATTAGTGGATTTTAATGAGACCTGTTATGGTAAATGAAGATCAGATTATCAAATGAAATTTGAATATTCTTTTTCTAAGTAGTACTATCACTGAAATATAGCACGTACCATTCATACTAATCCATAACTGATGACCTCTGCAACAAAATGTGTGGATTAAAAAGGAGTTAGAGTATATATGTATGTGAGAACAATGGAGTCACCAACTTCTGATGTTTTTCTGAAATCATCATGATTGTCTACTCCCTCAAGTTTTCCATGCTCTGCAGAGGTATTCCTTAGCACCTATTGTTACTCAGGGGGTAACCTAGTGTAACTGTATAACAATAACAATGAGTTATTTTAATACCCTCACAATATGATTTAATACTTCAGCTTGCCTGAATGGACTAAATGGTAAAATGCTTTTGTTCTGTTTCAACTAATGACTTGTATGACTTCAGTGTCCTTCATATTTTGTTTCTAATGCATAATCTCTGTTACTAAAGACTACAGCTCATTAAAGAGAGCAGAAGTCAGTATGTCATAAGAATTAGTATTTTTTTTTAAAAAAGCGGATAAACACCTACTAAAGATCAGGAACTTCAGAGGTCTTTAGGTAACTTAATACCATTAATATACTTCACTTGTATGCCATCAAGTATTAGTGCTCTTGTGTCAATTGCTAATGTTTCTGAGCGTGTCTCTCTGAACCTCTTGGTGGTTTTGACTGGTTGAGATACACATCCAAAACTGGTGATATTTTCTGTCAAAAAAAGGTAAAGTGGCTTACTGTCCATCAATGGTGGTTTTTATCCCTTTGCAAAAAGGTTTTTGTTGTGTCAACTAAAAGCAACTACTCAAGAATAATTGGTAATAGAAAAAAACCCAATCCTTACATAAAGAAAATCTTTAAATAGTAATTAAAAATTATTTTATATGCATTATTAGACCTTGCCGGATGATGCTTCTGGAAGAATTTTCACATTTGTTTCAGTCTAGACATTTGCTGCAAAACAAAGAGAAGAGACTGTAAAGTACAAATTGATGATTGTAGGTCTTGCAAGGTCTACCTGAAAATCATG